TTTTACGTAAAAAGTATAAAGTGTCAAGAATAACGTTTCTCTGCACCAAAAATGACATTTTCTTATATAATTGTTTGAGAAATTGATATCTTTATTATCCGTCTGCGGACTACCGCCGCATATGTGTGTTCTACTTAACCATTTGATCGATGAACTCATATGTATTCGGCAAAAACAACTGATAGAGTACAGATTTCTTTTTGTGACTATGTTTATTGCGCAAAAAAAAAAATGTCCCTTTGAAACAATATTAGTCAACGGATATAATATTATAAATGTGGTAATCTTCCTAAAGTCACGTCAAGGGATAGATATTTAGAAATATTTAATAACATTTACTTCAATGATATTAATGCACGAGACCTTAATAACCCGTTAATAAAATTACGGCCTATAATCGATGTACTTGAAACAAATTTTGCTAGATCTTTTTATCCATTTGAGTATCTTTGTATTCATGAAAGTCTGTTGCTATAAAAAAGGAAAATGTCACTTGAAATAGTATATTCCTTCTAAAAGGAGCCATTTGGCGTAAAATTGTTTAATATTTGTGATTGCAAGACCGGATGTATCCTCTACGGATATTATCATCTACACTGGAAAAGAGACAGATAATGAAACGTATATTTTGGCGCTTCGTAAATCCGGAAATGTAGTTACAACACTTTTGCGACCATATTGGGAAAGGCCACACATTAATTACAAATAATTGGTACTCAAGTCCACTTTTGTATACACTACTCCATAAGTATAAAACTAATGCATACGGGACTATAAGAAAGAACAGGATTGGGATGCCAGATGAAAAAAAAAAAATCAAGCCTAGAGAATTTGAATACCAATTTTCTAATAATTTATTGGCATTACGATGGTTCGATAAATAAGAGGCATGAATGTCGTCGACTGCTCACAGTGCTTACGTGACTGATAATAGTTATAGAAATATTATCGCTCGGGGTTACGTAAAAAAAAAGCCAACTTGTATTATTGATTACAATTATAATATGGGTGCTGTCAACAAAATAGATATAACTTCAAGTTCAATAAACTAAAATCTACGAAAATCAATACGGTGGTACATAAAATATTTTTTTCATCTAACAGATCTTTCAGTATATAACGTTTACATCATTTATAAAAAAAATCACTGGTAAAAAAAGAAAAATTGTCAAATTTAATTTTCTGTGTGGAAAAGAAATGCTACGAAAACACCAACAAGTTATAAATCAGACAGTTATAACTAAAGATATTGACAATTTCATTTTTTCAAATATCAGAGAGACAAAAATATTACAAATATTATATCAAAATGTTACAATCAAACAGCAAAAATTTCGAAATTGGCGAGGGGAAGATGTGTTGTATGTTCGAAACGTAAAAGACAGAAATATACGCAATATAAGTGCAAACAATGTAATGTAGGCCTTTGCATTGATCGATGTTTTGAAATATATGTCACACAAGAGAAAATTATTGACATTAAACATTTATGTTTTTACTATTAAATTTGATTTAATATTAGTAATTTAAATCTCTCATAAAAAAAGGTTAATAAACGAATAAACATTTTATTCATCCTGTGGAGAATCTATGCGTGCACATATATACAATAAACATTTTATTTATCTTGTGGAGAATCTTTACGTACATATATTCCGGATTTGGTATTTTGGAGTACCGTGAACGATAATAGCGTGTAAGTACAAATGTGCGCTGGCAATTGCGAACGGCCCAACGGTGTGCTTAGTTTCGAACCGTTTCGTCCGCAAAGAGTTATGAAAGTTTGTCGAAATAACAGTGATGATAATAGAGTGTATGGAGCATGGCAAAAGATATTCGTGTAAATCGAGGTTTTTTACTTTAAACGTACTATTTATTCCTGAATATTAAATCTACAAATACTCAGATAATTAAACAGTGTAATTAGGATAAGGCTGCATAGTAATAAGTATAAGACCCGTAAAAGAATCATAACTCTAACTATCAGCATATTTACTAAAATTCAATACAAATTCCAAAGTAAAATACATACATGTATTTTT